CGCTGTGTCGACGCAAGCGGGGGGCGCACAACCGGCGCAGGGGGCAGTCTCGCCTCCAGGCCAGCCAGGCGTCCGTCCAGCATATTCCCAACTGCGATGAGGATTTCTCGCAGTTGGGAGTCAAATGCCCCTGAGTTGGTAGTAGGGGCAGGCTGGGACGCGGACGGGGCTTCCCGCTCGGGGAGGTTCGCCTGGAAGCGGGCGAACTGAGCGCTCAGCTCGTTCACCCGCTCCGTCAGCCTCTCGTTGGCCACCTGCAGGCGAGACACATCGCCCACTAGGCTCTCCACGACCTCCGACAAGGCGGAGGAGGAGTCCTTAAGGGCCCTCACAAACGAGCCCTTAAGGTTCACGGACTTGGTGGCCACCTTGTCGATGACGGCCACCGCCGCTTTCGCCCTCTCCTGCACGGACACGGGAGTCTGGGGGGCATTTCCCCCCACCGGCTCCCGAACCTTGAGCAGGAGATCCGCGATCTCCTCCTCCGCTACGGCCTCGCCGTCCACCCGTACGCTTCTGTAGGACTCCGCGTTTGAGAACGCGGAGCCTGACGGGGTCGAAACCGAGGCCGGTTTGCGTGCCCTCCCTCGACGGCTGCTTGCCACTTTTGGTGGCATCATTTCGCCGGACGTGTCGGTCCCCTCCTCCCTGGAGCGTCCGCGTTTCCGGCTGTCGCTTCGCTCCGCTTCCATGGCCTCCGCGCCATCCGAGGAGACGGCGGATCCGGAACGAATACGATCCGATGCTCTTCGGCTCCCAGAGACCAGAGTCAGACTGACTTCTGGGAGCCCCATCGAGATAGGCGTCCCCGACGCCACCTCACCCTCAGTGGACGACCCATCCGCTCCACTGTTCTGCTTGTCCTTCCTTCCTTTTGCTTTCATGTCCTTTAGGCTTGCCTTTTTCGTTTGTATGTTGGTTCCGATCGTTTTTTAATTTGTTGTAAATCATCCATAATAATCCCACGAGTGGGGGAGAACTAGAGGTCCACCCGGGCAGAGATCCCCCATTACCCGGGCAAGCGTAAGTTTTTAACCCAACCGAGGGGTCCGCAGGTACCTCGGCTTGGAGTGCGCTCGCGACTGAACTTCCCATCAGCCATGCATCCCCTGGCCACGCACCAGAACACGGGATTCGGGGAATTTTTTAGAGAGGTTATCTTCCTCGCGGTCCGGGCGGTTAAGCCAAGACCCTCGTCCCCGATCAGAGCCGCGAGACTTAACCACAGCGCTCTTCTCGGGATTACGATATGCCGACGGTTGACAGGGAGACTACGTCCCCCTGCCTGCTCGGTGGTAGTGTGAGTACACGCCGAGCCCGTCCTCCTTTCTCCACCGCTATCAGCGGAGAAAACTGTGGCCCCTACAGGGCCCCGCCATCAGGTTTTTTACCGAGGTTTCCTCCTCCATGCTCCGAAGAGCGAAGAGCCAGCAGGGCAACCGGCAGACACGCCCACCCTGCTGGACCAGGCCTTGCCCGAGAGCCGATGAACGGCTGCCTCTTCTGCTAGAATATTGGCCGCTGGCGATAATCCTCTCCTCCAAGAGGACAAGGAGGAAACAGTACCATCGCCAGCGTTTCCAGGGTGCACCACGAGGAGGTTTTCTAGCCCAGCACCCCACACCCTATACCAACCCGTCTGGCCAGCATGGTACATGTAGTAGGTCAAAACCTCCTTTCTAAGAAGATGCCTATGTCCAGAGGTGGACTAGTACAGGCTGTTGATAATGATGATGATGAGAAGTTTTTTTAGTGAGGCGTTCAGCAACATACATTCAGAGGCTCACGGAAAAACACCGAGAAAATATAAAGTATATTTAAAGTCATATTTTCATCGTGCCATCAATAAACGGTTATGTTATGTTAGGTTAACGGATACAAATGGCACTGGATATTTACAGGACGTTTAAAATAAGGGAAGAAATATACTTTATAAGAAAAGTTCTCGTAAACCACAAAAGTAGGCTATCATTCAATATAAAAGATTTCATCTGTCCAAACGTCTGCGATTGCAGTGTTATAGAAAATTGGATTGCAGCTATAACCGTTACCTACTACATTTACCGGTCCTCCCCAATTTTATTGTTACGCGATAAAACTTTTCCATCAACGCACGGACGTTACCCTAGTGGGTTGTCTGCCAACATTAGCATAAAACATACAAAGGCGCTAAGGGAATTGTGCCAAAAGTGGTATTGTCAAGGCTCTTACGGCCTTGTTGTACAGAAACCTTGTACTCAAAGAAAATAAATTATTTTTGTAATATATTGTTATTTTGTTATCTTTAAGTCGGCTAAGTATTGACCAGCAGCCTACCCGATAGAAACAGATAACTATTCATTGTACATATAAACTGCAGAAATAGATATCCAATTTTCCAAATTGAATCCGTTCATGTAAGTCTTTATTTGTATCGAGATAATATGACTTAAAAATATATTTACTTGTAATTTCTTTTAAGATTATTTAACAAGTTTTTAAACGTATTTTAATTGAGTTAATCTATATTTGAAAGTATCATACGTTGATCATGACTTAAAAGACTGTTGCCCACGGCATAATGTACTACGCCGGCATACATATCCACAATTATCTTAAATAAAGCGTTGTTGTTGTGGACCTTGGGCCCGGCGCTGACCGACGTCGTGGCACGGCGTGGTGCGGCACTGGGTGCTTTGGCATCCCGAAGGACGCTTTGATATGACGCGGCATGCCGAAGCATGGCACCCCGCAGAAGGCCAAGCCACTCAGCTTAGTACGCACCCGTTTTAAACCTTATTTCAATTAGTTTAGCTGTCATAATCCTATGTGGCTCGTAGGTAGCTATTGACGCGGTTGTAAACCGCAGCAACCCGTGGAATGTAACGGCATGATACAATGATCTCGGCTTCCCGCAACATGCCACGATGCACTTCAGTATGATTGTTTCAAAATAAAGTAATATGAATTCTAAACTCATTGAAATAAGAATAAAAAGCACTTGATCTGAACTAAAATCTCTTAACGTTTAGCCGACGACATTAGTCAGCGCCGGCTCTTATACTGTTACGATTGCGACATACAGCCATACAAATGTGTTTCTCCTCAGGTTGTTTACAATTAAGAGCTATACTCAAACAACAATTATTGATTTTAATCTAATATGGTTTTAGCGCACTGAAAACATTGTTATATGACTAGTGTAGTGTAGTTTCAAATTCAAACAAGGTTTGGTAAGGTCTATTCAGCGTAGCGTACGTACATAATTCAATTTAATTCAACTATTCCCACTATAGTTACGTCGATTTACCTGTGTCACAGTCTATTACTATTACAACTGATGTTCTTATTAGTTTAACACGAAATTCAAACCAATATATATGTCTATATATAACTCTCACAATTAGGTACATGCTACATTCTCCTTTTTTTTCTTTTTTCTATGCGGAAATCCCCTCGGATACCACTTACCGGTGGCAATGTCGGACTCGAACCGACTAAAACCGCACGCCGTCTCAGGTACCAGTAGTCGAGGAACCAGGTGTACCCTAGAAAGGAAATCCCTGGTGCCCCGACGTACCTCGGGCCATCTACGGCGCGCAGACGACCCCCCCCTGTGTGGGAACCCCCATCTTCCCTCTGTGCCAACGGAAGGGCGCGCGCTTCATAACGCGCTCGCTGTCACCCCGGCCTGCTTCTGTTCGGGTGACAGATGGCCTCACCTGTCACCCCCAGGCCTGCGCTTATGGTTCCACGCACTCTCGCTCCGCACGATAGCCGCAATAAGGTTATCGAGTGAGAGAACTCCCACTCCGATGGCCGCCAAGAGGTCTCGCCTCTGCTCCACCCACGCCGGGCATTCTGCCAGTGTGTGGAGTGTCCGACCATCGCAGTGGTGGCACTCCTGGCTCCTTGCGGATCAGACCCTGCCCGGCGGAGTTGGGATTTCCGGTCATCGATTTCTCGAGTCTCAGGACTCCGACCCAACTCCCGCGCCTCCTTATGTTACATTCTCCTAACGCTCTCAAGTGAAACATGAAATAAGTATGCCTGGTTTTACGCATTATTGACACGTTATGCTTGCAAAGTAACATTGTCACGTCATCATTATAGGGTAGCTACGAAGCAAGTCTGACAGAACGCATGTGTAGTCAAAGTACGGATTCACTACCAATTAGGGGCCTATATTAATAACTAACACAACCCACTGGGTCAGGTAAAAGTTTGAGTAAGTCATATCTACCGCTGTCTGAAGCTTGTCTGCTGTTACTGAGTAAGTTGATGATGGTACGATATTTAATATCTAAATAACATCAATATATTTATCTATGTGATGCATGCATAATATGTATAATTTATGGTGTGGCCTCTGAAACAAAAAATCACACACTATTTTTTCTTTTACGAAAATCATTTTTAAGCTATTGCGTGGAGCGTGGAGACCGAATCCAGAAATTCCGTAACGAAAATAACCTAACACCCGCCACTCCGACCGGCACAATAGCAGAACTTTTAATGACTTTTTTGAAATATCACGCTTGTCTCTTTAGTTCAGCAACTCGCCTCTAGGTGGCATTGGTTGTGACGCGGTATTTTCCAGATATTTAGAAGATATTAAGTCTCAAACTTATGTTTCTTATTTCAGTTACCATAAACCTATAGTTTCAATGATAAATATTCCTGAATAACCTAAATGTATTGTAAGATAATAAAAATATTTTGAACAATATTAACTTCTCATTTATTTGATAAAAGAAAAAAAAATGTTTTTTTATCGGTCACCACGCTCAAAAAGTGTAACTTGAATTAATATCAAAGAAAAAAAACAAAGGAAAAAAAAAATACTGCATAAATAAAATAAATAAATAATTATAATTGCATAAGTTGATAAAAAATGCTATGCAATAGCTTTACCGCGGCAGTCCCCGAGTGCCACACGTCTTTTTTTTAATTATCGTTTCAATTGCAGTAAAACTTGTTAAAAATAAATCGAAACAAAAATAAAATAGTCGAAAACGAACCTGATAACAAATAAGCGCCATTCGTCCATCATGGGACCATGAGAAGTGCGTGACCGGTGTACTCCGGTCGTTTATTAGCTCAATGCTCCAGCGGCCTTCGTATTTGATCCACACGAAGATCACCCCGCTGCTGTCGCATGACGCTAGCTTCTGATAAGGCTCGTTCCATTTTACTAGGATTACCTGAGGAATAATTCAGTACTTATTAACCATTAAAAAAAAAGAAAACTGTCTGTGAGTTCCAAGTCATATATATTTTTTAAAGTTATTTTCAAACAAAAAAATGTATACAACAGAATAAGTTCTTTTGATTTTTTTATTTCATGTATTAGTTAATACATAAAATAAAAAAATAGAGAATACCTGAAAATTAAACGTTATTATTTTTAATTTCTATTTTTTTCATGTATTTTAATTACTTAATTACCTTACTTAATACGTACCTACATTCAAACTATTGAACTGTAGAACGTACAGAGACTTATTAGTTTATAAATACTGCGTTAAATTTTTTGTTGTGTCAAGAAGTCAGAATACTATTGTGTGGAAATCATGTTCTTTTGAACTGTAGTTGTGTAGACATTACTACAGTCTAACTAACACTTAACAACAACATCTTAAGTTAAACTAATATTACAATATTTTCGGACATCTGACACACAACAAACAAGATGGAGTTTCAAACTAAGCAGAGGTTGTATTATGATAGCTATTATAAAGCTGAATAGTTTATTTGTTTGGTTGAACGCGCTAGCCCATTTATCGAGAAAGCCTTTAGGCTGTATAACATCACGCCACTACCAATAGGAGTTGAGCGTCAATAGAAAATGTTACACAACGGGGTTTTTTTTCTTTTTGAGAGACGAACAGAAATGAAAAAAAGACCGTATTCAAAAAATACAATAATTTTTATTATGATAAAAGATCGTCTTAAACACAAACTTTTTATTAAGGTTGAAAGAAACTCTATTAAACTTTATACTGGCTATTTAAATAATTACTTTGTTTAACTTTTTACTTCAACAAACAACGGTAAAATTGTATAGGAGGCCAAGACTTAAAGCGGCCTTATTACAACTTATTTAGCGTAGCAAAAGAATCAGTTTCATCGCATGTCAGATGATGTGCGAGCGGCACTAACTTGATCCACATTAATGGAGAACTTTCTCTCTGTGCGTGTTGTATAATATCATCACTAGATTATATCTGTACAGAGAATGTCAGCAAGAAGGGCTGGTATGCTTTGTAGGGGTCAACTTAATGCATTACCTATGTATTGTCAAAAAATTCTTGTGGACAAAGGCATGATGGGTATTTTAATCCTTTGTAAGTAAAAAGATGGAGATTGACTGAAATACCTTCATAACTTTAATAATGGTTTCATTGGCGGTGGTGATAGTGACAAACAACATAGTACATGAATCTGTGTAAATAAAAGTAAATTAGGTGTTCAACAACGATACATTATTTAATTATTTAGATTAGCATACCGATGAGAACCGATGACCACCCGAAAACTAAATAAATTGCAGTTAGATTTGAATTCCTTGAATAAAATATTTCCGTTTATCGAGTTACATTTCATTTATTACATACATCAAAAGCTAAAAATTTCAATAATCATTCATTATCTTGTTCTTGATGTTCTACAGAATACCGAACATTGTCAGGATCTTTTTCGCACACGAACACGGATAATCGATCACATCCAATATTGTCAATCTTTCCGGTGCTGGTTATCACGCCACAGTACTCATCAAATGCTTCATATGTTGGCTTGGGTTTGTTCCAATTGTTATAAAGTTCTTGAATAGGCTCGCCACGAATACTTAACCAGGTACCACTTCCATCCCAGTCCTGCAGACCAATGTATAGAGAGTCGTATTCTTTAAACTCTGTAGAATTCATTGTAATTTTTGGGAACATTTTTTGAATAATACGTGCTTCTTCTTCATCGTTCAGGACGGCCAAGGACCCACCTTCGGTGACACACATCGAGTTCGCGTCAGACCATGTTCGAGGTTTCGTATGAATTTTGTAGCAACTGCCCGTGCTTGCATCAAGTTGATAGTCTTCGTCAAATGTCCCACATTCGGTGTTGTTCTGACTCATTTCCTGGGTTCTATAACATATGTATGGCAGTTCCTTCATGCACGTATTGACATTTATAACAGTATCGGTCATAGTCAAGCAATCGCCGTCTTGTGTGTTTAATATGTCGACCATATCCATCACCGGCATATTTTCTATGGGAGTACCTTCTAAAGCTACAAAATGTCCAGGCGAGAACTTCGAGTGAGTGCCGATGTAATGTAAATTTGCGCCGACTCTATTATCTTGAAGCAGACGCTGCATTGCCCTCAGCATTTTTTCAGTAGTTGGAGACGCAAGTAGGGCTCCCTCGTTGTGACATCGGAAAAATGCTTGCTGCCATGTTGCTGTCACTCTGTGTAGTTTGAACCATGCACCTGCATCTGGATGATATTCATAATCAGATTTGTAAGCAACACTACATGAAATTGATAAGAAAAGTAGCACAATAAATTGTTTTAACATTGTTAACTAGTTTTAGAACCCGAACTCAGAACAACAAGAGTAGGTAACAGTGCGAGCGCTACAGCTAACAATATTCTCTGTAATACTTAATATATAGTTTTAACATTATACACAGGATGGAGCTTTATTTGGATTAAGCCTAACGATAGGTGCCTATACAATTTTGTATGAAAGAATTTCTTAGTAATAATATAACATGTTTCATTTCTTCTCAACGTTCAGTTCATTACATTACTATGTTTAACACGCTTTTTTTTGCTTCGCATGTATGTAGGCATGTATGTACGTATCTATGTAACGGAAGTTTTGAAGGTGATTTTCACCCTCTTCAAAAGGTCGCATCGAATTTAAACTGCCCACACTTATCAAGAACATGCCAATAGAGTAATCTAATTAATATAAAAGTAAAAAAATAATATTAAAAACAGCGTTTGTAGCTAGTTGAAATAAAACTAGAAAATAACTTAAACCTAGTTTATAAACTAAACAAACATTCTGTTGTCACTAATCGAACTAAAAAGTAGCAAATCATAATCCATAGTAAAAAAAAATAAGGTATATTTTTTTACTATTAAAGTTTTTTTTTGACTTAAAGAAAAGTATTTTCTTAAACTTAAAGTAAAGTTACAAACCCAGTTTGTTTAGTTTCTTCTTAAAAACTATTACATATATTTTTATAACATAATCTATGATTTTTTATATTTGTACAAAATGTTAGTCGTCTACTAAAACTCAATTTATCACTTTAAAATCAATGAATTGCTTCAACTCTTGATACTAAGGTACCTATTATAGATAACTGTCAAGACATATTCAGAAACTAAAGTTTTTTTTACTAAAAAGAAAGTAGCTAAACGTAAATTTAGACAATTTTCCAGTTATAAGAGGTAAAATTTGTAATAAAGATGTTACTAAAAAACTGATATACCTACTTTAATTTTATTAATGAATATTAATTTAGTGAAATAATTGTTTAGAGGGATACGAAAATTGGCTGGTAACTTGGTGACATATTGGTGCATATTGAATCCAAGCCACCTTGAGCTCAGAGAATAAGGCACATACTCGTACCATACGATTTCAATTGATATTTTTGTGGTAGTTTTGAAACCTGTTGCTTACTGTCTTAAATTAAATCACTCTGTATAGTATAAAAGCAGTGGTAATTTATTATTAAAATGTTTGCACTAATCATTTTTTGCTAACTCCAGCGTTTGCAATTTTTTGTAGCTAATATACAGGCTGCTTATAAATTTAAAACTAAATCCGACGAAGTAGGTATTTATTAGTCTATTTCAACTACTCTTTAGAATTAAATAATTTGCTGGAATTTGCAGGTAACAACAATAACAAAACCCTCAACAAATAATATAAACACAAATGTGTTTCTTTGCTTGTTACACTTTCCGACTTAGAATTGATTATGGTCACGAATTTGCAAAAAGATAGGGTAGGGATACATACTTTTATTCAGTAGGAAAAGCCTGTTTCTCAAGGATACTTGAATTGATTAAAAAAGAACTAGTTATGGGTACAAAGACTGGGTACTGCGCACAATATTTTTTCCTTTCATAAATAAAACGCATTTACTTTTTAATAATATTTAGTATTTATTTTATAGGTTTGTAAATAATAAAACATGGTAGATATGCGAGTGTAGGCGGTAGTCATTAAATTCCTAAAAATGTGTACTAATGAATAATGATAAATTTCTTTGTTGTTTTTCAATGTTGTTGTTGTTGTTTTCGAGAACTCACTTTTTAGTTCTTTACAAACGAGACGAAAGCATACCTTACTGCTTTATATGCACGGATAAAAAAATAATTGTATCAGGGTGCATAATATACTTAATAGGAATACCTTAACCCATCTTATTCACAAACCATGGTAACCAGATTGCTTATATAATAGATGAAATTATTTTATAGATATCGTACTCATTACAAAATTATTTGTCCTAAAGAGCAATCGAAACCACCACCAACCACCTTGAGGACTCAGGAGCCAGGAAGCAGTCATTCTAACCACTAGACTTGAACAACAGATCAAATCATAATGGAACAAATCAATAATGTGGCTTTATAAACTTATACTCTGATATAACGTTATGTAGTAAAAGTACATTTTCGTAAATTTACTATATTTATAAATGACAAGGATACCCTGGTGAATAAATCTAACTTACTATCCTACAAATAAAACTTACAACTATGTATATATGCACATACTATAAATGATGACACGACAAAGACAGCTGACACGAGTTGGGGAAATGTGATAACCTGACCGATATGATTACGAAATTGTTAATTCTGTGTGAAATTATGTTTGCTAATCACACAACATAGGTATTACATATAAAAATTTAATTTAAAACATAATTATTATTAACGAACTATGTAATACCTTAATTCCGCCATCACAGAATTAGTTTCTAAAACGTTAGTTTTTTTATTTTTGTTAAGACTATGATCTGATGACTATTATCCTTTTTATGTAATCAATGGTCACAACAAGACCTCTAGATAGCCATATGGTCCTGAGAACAGCATTTCATATTTCATGCGCAGAGTGTGTGTGTGTGTGTGTGTGGTTTTAGTCGGTTCGATTCCTATACATCACCCCGCCACAAGCCCCGGTGGGGTGACGTATTCGATCTTGGTTTATATTTATTATATAAATAGCTTAAGAAACCTTAGAATTTAAGTGCTAAAATTAACTAACGTAACTTACGAAGTTATGAGTTACGTCATAATGAGAATCAGGCAACCATTTGCTAAGAAATGCTTTACGAATATTTAACGGTTTAATTAAACGTCACATCGTATTAATATTCAAGACCACATTTCTATTGTATATGTTTTTCTACGTGAGACGATACTGGTATTATAAACTAGACCTATGCTCGACCGGTATGACAAGCCTTTTTTGCACTCTTACCCAAAGAACATGATGAAGACTGTCACTATCTCCGTACACCCATAAGAAAGTTAGACATTTTCAACCGACGTCCAAAAGGAGGAGGTTTTCAATTCGGATGTTTATATTTTTTTATGTATGTTCATGTTCAAATTTGAACGGATTTTCAAAATTCTTTTTTGTTCGAAACTGGTTTATCTGAAATGATCCCATTTAAATTACATAAAGATCTTGTGATGAGTATCGCAGGCAGAAAACGGAACTCTTCGGATAATGACAGCAAATCAACCGCGATTGCTGCTAGCCTTTTATTCCTCTTTCTTAGTTTTGTTTGAAGTCGGTGCAACCTTTTTTGTAAAAGGATTTATTAAATATCAAGTGTTAAGTCGTGGACACGCTACCTATGGCACTAGGGGAAGGGTTTAGTTTTTTTATGGTATAGGGGGCGTAAACGAGAAGGCAGGTCACTCCTAACCCTCCCCTTAGAATCAAATAGGGTGGGAGAGTTTGAGCTCCGGTAGCCTCACTTACTTGGTGAAAAGCAATAAAAGACAGTTCTTTTATTGCTTTTCACCAAGTAAGTGAAGCCTCACAGAAAACTAGTGCTGAGCAGTCTCAGCACTAGTTTTCTGTGAGGCTGTTGTACCCCTCCGGTCGAACCTGGCCCTTTATGTGACAAAGCATGTCTTCCACGAAAGAAAGATCAATCAAGCGCCGCAAGTGGAACTAGATTGGCCACACTCCGGGTAGGGACCCCTAGCATATCGCCATAAAGGTACTGATTGGAACCAAAGTGCGAAGCTCAGGAGCGAACGCGATGGAAGACTACTGTGGTCGCCCTGTGCCATTCGGGTACTTAGGATATGAAGTCAAAAATTCTTTCCGTTATAACAAGCATGGTTAAAAAGAACCATAATCTATTTAATTTCATTCAAATTCGATTCAAACAAAAGCCGAACTAATGAAAAGCAATGTCGTCCAAGGACAAACCTCGACACAATATCTTGAAGACTCCGCAGGTAGCTTTGCCAATAAACACAAAGACTACATGTTCAAGTTTCTAGCACGCACTACGCATGTGATCCAGAACTTAATCCATACCTCCATAGTTCTATTATGAACGTGAAATTGAGTTTGTTTGTTTGGTACACCTTGACGCCTAAACTACTAAACCGATTTTAACAATTCTCACACCAATGGAAAGCTATGTTATCAGCGAGTAACATGGCTGCTTTTCAACGCGATACTTTTTAACCGACATATACGCGAGTATATGTTGGTTGGTTGGACATGCGGCCCACGCGGGATGGGCAAAATTTCCTAAACCTTGTTTTTGCCTAATATACCTTTAAAACACTATTTACTAGACAAAATGCGGTCAATCACAAGTTAGGCGCGAGGACAAGGGACGCATAAGACTTTGATTACAATGTATCTTCTTCCTGTCTTATTTTTCTTATTTCATAATATCATAAATCTAATAGAAAAAACTAGTTTAGGTCCTCATGTCGATGACTGCACTGATGGCGTAGTGGTTTAAGCGGTCGCTACGTTGCTTACTACTACGCTGAGTGTTGTGGGTTTAATCCCCACATGGGACGACACTTTGTGTGATCCACAAATTGTTATTCTGAGTCTGGGTGTTCTTTGTGTCCGTTTCATGTATGTTTGTAAAGTCCCCCACGACACAGGATATATTCCTAATGCGGGAGTTTTCTTTAATACAAAAAAGTTTTCCTTTTTTTCCTTTTTCTACTATAATCATTATTATCATTTCAAAAATATGTTCTTTTTTTTCTCACCAACAAACACCTATTTGACAAAAATTATGTGTAGGTTCCTGCCTATTCCTTAGTCCTTATACATTTATATACCAGCTATTGATAGCAGCTTCGCTCGCGTGATTATTTTTCCTTTTTAATTTATTTCTAACTTTGCTAATGACGATGTTCCAAACAACCATCATTCATCCCTTATTTTACCTATCCTTAGGAGTGAATTTTGTGCTGGTGCTTACCACACAAAAAGCATCATCTGCCAAAATTTCAAGCGGTTTACGTTCTGCGTTGATGAAGTCAGTC